GGGAGGGAGTTACAGACTGGAATGTAATCGAGGAAAATAATGTAGACTTATATGAATGTTTTTCTAATTGGTTTTGCCCATCGTTTCTCTCCCAGCGGAGCTGGAGAAGCAGAAGGGTGTAATCCGTGCCACCATGTTGCAGAGTGCCAGCCTGAAGAAGGATGCTGTGAATGGTACCCTCACCAGCCTGGACGATACCTATGCCATGGGCGAGGGTCTGAAACGGAGCGCTCTCAGCAGCTCCCTGCGGGACCTCTCTGATGCAGGTAAGTGGTGCCGTACGCACAGGGATCCGAGCAGGCTTGCGGTGGCATGGTATTTCTGCTGACACTAACTGCTATGGGCGCCGGCTGTGCTCCCCACATCTCCCCCCAGCATGGATCCTGGCAAAACGTTTCCCCTGTCCCCCTCGGAGTCCCCTGTCCCCCTCGGAGCTGGTCGCTGGCTGTTTATCACCTGTATCTGTTGCCTGCCTGTTGTTTCCTGATCTCTGTCAGCTCTGGGTTTTACCGCTTTGCTCTGATGTGGGAGGTCGATCACTGGGAATGTAACAGCCTCCTGTGATCTAATCCCAGTGGCAGGACGGGGACAGCACGGGGTTAGGTACAGAGTACAGCTCCCTCTACACTGTCCCCCCCATCAAACACTCCCAGGGACTGGAACAGCACGGGGTTAGATACAGAGTAAAGCTCCCTCTACACTGTCCCCCTCCATCAAACACTCCCAGGGACAGGGACAGCACGGGGTTAGATACAGAGTAAAGCTCTCTCTACACTGTCCCCCCATCAAACACTCCCAGGGACAGGGACAGCACAGGGTTAGGTACAGAGTAAAGCTTCCTCTACACTGTCCCCCCGTCAAACACTCCCAGGGCAGGGACAGCACAGGGTTAGATATAGAGTAAAGCTCCCTCTGCACTGTTCCCCCCATCAAACACTCCCAGGGACTGGGACAGCGCAGGGTTAGATACAGAATAAAGCTCCCTCTACACTGTCCCTCATCAAACACTCCCAGGGACAGGGACAGCACAGGGTTAGGTACAGAGTAAAGCTCTCTCTACACTGTCCCCCCATCAAACACTCCCAGGGACAGGGACAGCACGGGGTTAGGTGCAGGGGAAAGCTCTCTCTACAGTGTCCCCGCCATCACACACTCCCTG